CTCTGTCTCCATTTACCCTTCTCTCCACGTTGCTCTGCCACAACCACCTAGAGGGATCAAAAAAGGAGGGCTACCTTCTTTGCTTTCAAACCCAGTAGATTTCAATTGGTAGGCAGGAGAGATTGCGGATGAAGCGAGGGCTGCGGTTAAGTGATATGAACTACTTCATTCACCTTTCAGACTACCAAATTTCTAATTTACTTCCGCAATTGTTTCTCCCTCTCTTTTTGGCATCAAAGAAAAAGCGGCATTTATTAGTTAATGAAATTTTGCCAAGATAAGGGAGTACACCACAGAGCGGTCAGATTTCTTTGAACGGTCAGTTCAAATGGGTGGACAGGAGGCAGAAGTGAGGGTTTGGAGAGCAGAACCAATGCCTTCACTCCGATCAAAGGCAACAATGAATGGAACTTCACAAGAACAGCATCTTATGAAAACACAAAAGTCGGTAAAACGGCACCTCCAAAAGATTTAAAGGGTACAATTTTGGCATTCAAAAGGGGTTAAAATTGAGGAGAAAAACACATAAGGATAAGCGCATCTTTACAGTGATTCTAGCCGTTAAGTCGAATTCTACTGCACCGTGGTTTTCATTTACTCCTTCAATGACCTCGATATCTTGGAATGACTAGAAATGCGTCCAACGGTGAGGAGATGACCGAAGAGCCCATCTGCAAACTTTGTCATGAACAATCAAGCTTATTTAAAGCCCTTTTAAAGGGCCTCTGGTATTCAGAAAGACAAAGTATAAACAGCCTGCTTGGATCACCTGACTGCCTTTTAAAATAGCCACTTTCTGATAAGCCATCTATCACTTGGAGAAGGAAAGGCATAAATACGTAATGAACTTGTGGACGAGGTCTGCCTCCTTCAGTGAGTTATCTACCTTCCAAATGAGCCAGTTTCCATGGAATTGACTTAAATAGGTTTCCAAAAGTCGGTTACCGTATCGTCGAAACACCACTACTTTAAAAAGAAGTGAAGTATGTCATCTGGTTAGCAGCAAAATAGGCTGAAATTCAAAATTTTTGTTTTAAATCTTGAAATCATGCCTGTCTTTACCCAATTTCATGGATGATGTCAAAAAATGAGCCCAATTTCAACCGTGAGTCAGCACAATACAATACCTTAAAATAGACTTTAAATAAAACGAGGAGAATTTGTGGATAAGAAAGGGTAGAATGAAAGAGAACGTCTGAAAGTGCCTCTCAAAAAGGATCTCAATGAATATCCCTCGTTTCGACCAATCAGAGAGCAGCCAAAATGAGGAGTTTGATTGGTCAATTAGTAGAAGAACGAGCAGGCTGATGATTTGACGACAGCCGCACCCAAAAAAGACCCCCAAAAATGTTTTTTCTTTGATGCTTAGCAAAGTACGTGTATAGACTACCACTGACTTAAGTGGACAACTGGTCAATTGATTCTGAAAGCCCCATTCTTGTACAAAAAGAAATCCCACCTCCACAAAAGTTCAGACCTAAAAGAATAAGTAATTCACTGACTCAACTATGTATCATTTGGCCCCTTTAACGTAGTCTAGT